CATCGTCATCCAGAAACCCTGACGTGGGCAGAGGGCAGATTATTAACCCCGTTTTACTGATGCAGAGACTGAAACCCAAAACTCATGCGAGATCTCAGTGTCAGGGACAGCTGCCTCCGCGATGATCTGATTCCTGGACCACCTTGTTCCTGGAAGTGGGGCCACACACATAGCTCCCCTCTCCTGAGCCAGACCTGAACCTGCAACAATGCCCATAGCCTGAATGGAGCAGGGGACACTGGGCTTCTTCTCCGGGCTTCCATGGCTGTTTAGACAATTCAGCTCAGGTCCCAGCTAGCTGTTCTGATCTTCCTGTGGGGTTTTTAATTAGCCTGGCTCACTGCTCTCAGGCTGGATAGTGGACGATTCTGGCCAGAAGGTTCCAGGGAGCCACCAGGATGAAGTAAAGATGCTTCCACACTTTCTCTATTTGTGGGCTATCTCTGCCACTGGAATAAAATCTCCAGGCAACCTGGGACTCTGTTTTGTCCCTAAGAGTCACACTGGCCTGCAGAAGGCCTAACTATCTGAGCTCCTAAGCTAGGAATGGGAAGCAGCAGAGAGGGAAGCACTTTGGAGTCTGGGTGCCTGCCTTCGCAGTCTGAATTTCCTGCCTACTGACTTTGTAACACTGGGAAAGTCTCTATACTCTTGGACCTTCAGTTTTCTCACTGGTGAAGTGGAAATGTGAATCCCCACACCACAGGAGCAAATGAGCTAATTAATGCATACAAAGCAGCTGACATGAGTGAGCCATCGACCACCATCTCCTCCCAGTTCCAGCATAAGACAAGGAGAACTACGGAACAAGACAGAATTCTTACCAGTAGAGGTCTGGAAATCGTCTGCTCCTTGACTGTGAACTGCTGCTGTAGCCCAAGGTCTAGCCCAGGGCTGGACACATAGGAGGGACCCTGGAAATGTGGTCTCGAGAGGAAAGGTATTTGTTGAAGGTCTCATGAAGCGCTAGTTACAGCCCTGGGATCAAACTCAAGGTCTCCTTACTGAGAGTCCCGTGCTCTGTTTACAAAGAAAAGCATGTACCTCCAAGGATGAGAGATACAAACCCTAATCCTGATCACACAGCCAGCAGGAGGTGAACAGATCTATTTCAAAGGTTGCCAGTCTGAAGAAGAGGCCATCTAGAATGAGGCCAGGATTTTTGTAGCGATCAAAGTCTCCACGTTCCCTGTTACACTCAGGTCTCCCCAAGCTTCCTTAGCCCCACTTGCATTTAGAGGTGAGAAGAAGGGATGAGGAGCTGGTTTCGGTCATACTGTGAGTAGAAAGCAGGCTGCACTAGGGACCACCCAAATGAGGACCTTTGACATAGTTCTCCACTTTCTCGATGGGCACCTTTCTGTAAGTCACTGGATTTCTCAGACCTTAGTGTCCTCATCCATCAAGAGGGACAATGGTTGAGAATCTCAGAAAGAATGTTGGGCATGCCATCTCACTGTAACCTATAGAATGAGCCATTTATTGTCATTAAATGATGAGATACAGAAAATGAGCAATGAGCACAGTATTTCCTTCCTCCTCCAACTGTCTGTCTAATGCCCTCAGCACCCCCATTTTATCTGGCACTGCCTTGTGAACAGAATAGGTGGCTGCTCAGAGCTGGGGAATCTTTGCAACTTGTGGTGGGGTGTTGACTGAGACAGAGACAACACGTGATGTACACATCGAGTTCCAATTCCACGTAGGCTCTGGAGCACTCCCATCTGGAGTGCTGATGCTATAGAGAGTCTCACACTAGTAATCAACATACCCACTAATCTGGAGAAGAAATAGAGATCTTAACTTCAAAGAGAAGGACCAAACATTCTGCCTTCTGCCTCCTGTTAAAACTCCATACACTAACTGCAGAGGCTGGATGCCTTATTAACCTTGGGCAGATGCCCAAATGTTCAAAAGGTAAAATTTTGCTGTTCTCCCAATCACAAGAGTCATTAAGCGATCATGCTCCTGAATGAATGAACAAATGCTGAAAAGATACTTGCATTGCCGAGATTTCTTGTGATTACTCCTGCCTGATCTGTGCTCAGCGCTTTGTGATTTTCAACATGTTTTAGATCTAAGAGGTAGCAGAATACAGTGGTGACGAGAGCAGGCTCTGAGCTCTGCCACTTCTTAGCTCAGTGAGTTTGGCCAAATTGCTTAACCTCTCTGAGCCTTAGTTTCCTGGAGCTACCCTCTTCATCTCAAGATTATGCCAAGGATTACAGGAGATAATGCCCCCAACATGTTTAGCAAGTGCCTGACACCCAGTCAATGCTCCATTAAAGGTGGCTATCTTTATTCCTGGTTCATTTGACCTTTGTCCTCAGGGAGGGCAAAGGATGGATATAGGTAGTTAGGAGCAGAAACAAGACTAGAATTCAGGTGTCTTGAACCCTGGTCTGAGGCCAAGACCAACTGTCACATCAGATGGACATTTTCCTGTATGAGGGCTATAAATTATTCACATGGAAATCCCAGGGATATTTACAAGAGCTCTCCTTTGAGACTGACAGAATTTTATTAACAGACCTTGAGTTAAAATGTTTGTTGTTGTTGTTGTTGTTGTTGTTAGTTTGTTTTTTTGAGAAGGGACAAGAGAACCAGGTAAGTTGAATGTCTGAATCAGATCTCCATGTTGAGGATGTTTTCAGGATGGAGGAGTGTGGTATGCAAGGGATGTGCTTCTAGATGCACACGGTTTCCCAGGACTGGGGTGCAGGTTGTAATCCCTGGATTTTAGGAGGCGTCAGAGGGAAAGCAAGCAACAGAAACAGCTGAAATCTGGTTCAGGCCACACCCTGGAACTCTAAGCCTAGCTTCTGTAAAGGGACCTCTTGCTGCTGCTAACATTCTGGACCCTGCAATAACTTGTTTGGACAGCAGGCTTCATTGTGAACCGAAAGGCCATTTTATTTTCATCTGCTCATCTCTGTCCCTCAGTTGGCAAACACCTGGGCTGCCGAGATCCTCAGTGTGGGCAGCAGAGCTCTGTGTTAGCACCAGCATCTTCCTGAGGCTGCAGGGATCGACTAGCCACGAATGTTCAGCTATGCTCAAACCACGAGTCGCCCTGGCTACCAGCTGACGATAGCAGCAGTGTCTGGCCTGCCCAGGCTCCACATATTCCTATTATGCCCGGCCAAAAGAGTAGGCACCCTCACTGTCATCCCTGTCAGAGACCACATGTATCTTCCAAGACAAATTTGGTTCGTACTGTGAAGAACTTGCTTTTGGAACGTGAAACATATTTTTGGATCCCCCTCAACTGGGGCAAATCCTGGGTCTTTTAGGATAGCTTAGAGTTTCAGAAACAGGTCACTCAGAGCCAAGGGCAAAGAACAAGGTGTGCCACGGAAGTGGGAGAAGAGTCGATTTTGATCAAGTCCAAGGTGTGACTTTAGAGTCCAAGACTCTAAAGCAATGCAGGTGAATTTTGGCAAGCCTTAGAAAGGGCTCTAAAGGCCATTTGCAAACAAAAGCCAAGCCTGGAAATAGCGTGAGCAATGGCAACTTCAGAATGAGGGTGCAGATGGCTACTCCAAGGATCCATCTAAGTAAAACCTTTGTGGCATTGAGGTCTACACTGATCAAAACCAAAGCAGTTACTTGCTAGTCATATTTTTTTAAAGGGTATTGGTGGGGCACCTGAGAAGATGACGACCCCTGCAAGTACAACCCACCCATTCTTTTTTCCTGGGAAAGAAACAAGTGTGACACAAAGGAGAAACTGAAAGTCACACTGAAACTGGTCATGGGCTCTGGATGCATTACCAAGAGATTTTCCTTCACTGACTCGGTTGCTCACCACGAAAGAGCAAGACATAAAATGGCAGTTAGGATAGAGGTTAGAGACCGCCTTCTAGGCAGTGCCTGACTGAAGAACCGGCAATCTGGAGGACAGGCTGCTGGTCAAGTAATTGCTCCATCTCGGACATCTCATCTGAACGCCACCTCTGTGAGAGCTGCAACTCTAGTAACCAAGTTTTGTAAATGCCTATATAGACAATTTGATACTACATTCTCAATACATTGTTGGTGGAAGACAATGAGGGAAAAAAAAAGAGAGAAGCAAGACTTCAACAACCTCCCCCACCCCCGTGCACACAGTGAATCCTAGACTAAATAGAACACTGACTTACTGAAAGTGGTTTGTCCTTGGGATCGGACGAAGCAGGCCCTCTAGTTATGTGAAATGACATTACCTCAGAGCCCTGAGCTCCCAGTTCTCTGAACAGGAAGGAAGCAGACCCACGGCTCTATAAGAGCCATTTCCTCTCTGCTCTATTAATTTCAGAGATTAGGTCTGTGGACTAATACACTGAGATAACAGTCATTGTGTTTGCTGCAACTCCTACCAACCGAACTAATCTTAGTAGCCTGGTGATGTTGCAGGCTGTTATTGTCAAATTAAACTAACCAATGGCTCTCATGGTCCCTTCTGTCATCTTGGCTCCTAGAACTACCACTGGAATCCTTAACCCTGAGTTTCAGGCACATGGATGATGTCTGAGTTCCATGGGAGGAAAGTAGAAATTGGTCAAATGGGCTTTTAAAAAGACATTAGGGCCAGAGAGCTGAATGGGAATCTCTTTCTGTGCCTTACTCACTGGCTTCCTGTTCTCAGTGGTACCAGGAAGTTAATGCAATACATCTAGTGCCTGTCATTCCCACATTCCCGGTTTCTATTAAGGGAAAAAGTAGGCTTGTCTTCCTTCTCGCCCTTCCTCCCTTTCTAGTTAAAGGGGAGCAGTGTGGAGATCACTGGACTGAGAATCCAGATGGGGCCTTGGACTGTATTTCCTGCTCTTCCAGAAATTCACAAGGGGCAAGGTCACTCACCTCCTAGATCTTTTCTAGGTCAGATTCCAATTCCTTACATTTGGGGTTGGTTCCCTGCCATTAAGTCTGCACACAGAATTTCAATAATACATCTTACGTTCAAGTTTAAGATTAGAAGCATTCAACACCCCCCTCCCCCCAATAGCCCATTGTCTGACCGATTCCTGGAGCTTTCTGGGCTCCTGACGATTTCCCACCATGGCGAAATGGGGAAGCATGCTGTTGATTACAAGCCGATTTTTCCAGTCATCCATTGTTTGACCTGCAATTTTATTCTCGACTCTCCAAGGTGTTTCCCAAACGACCTAGACACAGGGCTTAGGGAGACAAAAAGTACACTGTCTTTCAGATACGAAGATGAGACAGACCATTGACCGCGTGAATCACAAACTTCCACTCTGAGAACAGGTTTGGGCGGAGCCAGCCACATTCGTTTTCTTTTCTCTCTCACCACCCCACCACCCTCGTTGAGCCCTTCTCTCCCACAGAGATGAGGGGCACTTCTGTGAGGCAGGTGGATGGGATGAGATGGCAGGTGGTGGCCACGGGGCTGGGCAAAGTTAACTGGAGACTTTAGGGATGGGTGGAGAAACAGCCTGATATAATTAAAATCACACTAGGTTTAAAGGCAGGGAATGTGGGTACTGGGTCTGGCTTTGCTTTTGTATGGTAGGCAGTGAGAGCTGGGGAATGGCTCTTCTGTTCTTGACACAGCTTTCTTATATAAAAACCATGGTGGTTGGATCAGGTGATGGCTTACGAGCAGCCCGTTCAGCTCTACTAGAGTAAGCCTTATGGCCCATAGAAGGAGCAACTCTCACTCCTATACCCAGCCAAGTGAGCTAACAGTTCATAACCTGACAGTCAGCGGAAGGAAGCAATGGATGTCAGAAGGGGCTCATGAAACTCTAGTGAACTGGTTTACAAAAAACTAACCAATCAGTCTGTGATCATGGCCACCCCAATATGTGCCCTCCATGACAGATGAACAGACATGTGCAAACTTAGGTAAAACTGGTTTTTTTTCCATTTATTTGTTTTTCATGTATACATGAAGTAAGAACTTTGCTGAGGCATTCGCATATGAGGGAAACTCTCCTGCCCCTGAATCTCCTTGGCAATACAGAATTCAGACTCTAAAATTTCAACATCCAGACTTCCACCTCTGCAAAAATGGAGTATTTTTCCCATTCTCCCACTGATTACAACTAAAACTTCTAGACATTATATACAAAACAAACGTAAGAACACCCTGGGATTCCGATCAAGATGGCGGAATAGGTAAACGCTGTGCTGGTCTCCTCCCAGACCACATCAAAATTACAAGTAGACTACAGAGCAGCCATCATTGAGCATTGCCTGAAGGCTACCTGAACAGAAGTCCTATAACTAAAGAAATACAGAAGAAGACACCTTGAGACTAGTAGGAGGGTCTGAGATGCAGAATGTGCTGGTCCCGCACCCATGTGTGGAGGTTAAAAATTGGGAATGATATCTCTTTTCTGAAAGTCCCCCTGGAGGAGCAAGGGGATCCCAGCCCCACACCAGGCTCCCCAGCCCAGAGTTCCAGTGACAGGGAGAGTAGTCTCTATAACTTCTGTCTGTGAAAACCAGTAGACATTGTAGATAAATGAGATTGAGGGTGGCTGGAGTGCCAGGTGTTCCACTCAAAGAGCCCACGTGTGGACTTACTCACTGATGGACTCACTTGCTCTAAGCTCCAGCACTGGGGCAGCAGCTCAAAAAGCGCCAGGGACACACAGAGAGGAACTGAATTGTCTGGCTTCAGGGCGAGGGCTGGAGGGGCAGCATTCTCCCAGACAGACGTGCTGGTGGAAGGCATTGTTCCTCTGTTAAGCCCTCCCCTCACCTAGCCCACATGCTCAAGTGGGTACCATATCTGAGTCTCCATCAATCTAGCTAATATCAATCACCTTGACTTGGTAATTCCAAGAGCGCGCCCCAGCCAACCTGCGGGTCCGCCCAAGCGACTCTCAGTGACTTTTCCATACAAACAGCCTATCTTGCCTCACGTTGCAGAATTTCCTAAAGTCTCTCAAAGGTTTGCAAATCCCAAACAAGCAGCATCTGTCCACAGCGTGTCCCATACCACTTGCAAAGCAGCCCCAAGCCCGGAAGTACTGGCAGCTGGCATCAGTTCACAGCTTAGCTTCTCCCAGACACCTCCAAGGCCAGCACAAGTGGCAACCATCTGCAGACCACTTTGTAGCTTATGCCAAGTGGCTCTGGGCAGGACATAGGCAGTGACTGATCTTGGTCTGCATCAGAGCCCCTCCTAAGAGGCCCCAGAACGAACACACCCGGTGGCCAGCTTCAGACCACAGCACTACCCAATCACTTCCACAAATGAAACATCCAAAGGGCAGACTGGGTAGGCAGCAGAGCCCTGATAAAGCAAATCCTGCTCCATAGAGTCAGCCCCTGCACAACAGCTCCTCCACAGTAGTCATGGCCAGCCCTCACAGTCAATCAGCCTGAAGGTCAATCCCTCACACTGCAAAAAGCAATGAAGACTCAAGTACAACAGGAGGTCACACACAACCCACAAAAGGGGCACACTTGGAGTACCCAATTCAGGTGACCAGGGGGACTGAGCCTCAGGATTCCACAGCTGATTACTCAACAGAAACTTTGCAGGCCAGAAGAGATTGGCAGGAAATATTCAAAGTGATGAAAAGCAAGGACCTACAACCAAGATTACTCTACCCAGCAAAGCTGTCATTTAGAATCAAAGGACAGATAAAGAGCCTCCTAAGACAAGAAAAAGCTAAAGAAGTTCATCACCACCAAGCCAGTATTATAGGAAATGTTGGAGGGTCTTCTTTAAGAAGAAGAAAAACATTAAAATATGAATAATAAACTGGCAATAACTACATATCTATCAACAATTGCTTTAAATGTAAAAGGATTAAATGTTCCAATCAAAAGACATTGTGGCTGAATGGATAAGAAAACAAGACCCTTACATATGCTGCCTATGAGAAACTCACCCCGGATCTAAAGACACACACAGACTAAAAGTAAATGGATAGAAAAAATATTTCATAAAAATGAAAACAAACAAACAAAAAAGCTGGGGTAGCAAGACTTATACCAGAAAAAATGGACTTTAAAACAAAGGTTATAACAAAAGACACAGAAGGACCCAGTCATCCGACTTCTGGGTATTTTTTCCAAAGAAACCCAAAACACTAACTTGAAAAGACATATGCATCCATATGTTAACTGCAGCATTACTTACAATAGCCAAGATGTGAGGGCAACCTGAGTGTCCATCAATGGATGAATGGGTAAAGAAGAGGTGGTACACATATACAGTGGAATATTACTCAGCCGTGAAAAAAAAAATGAAATCTTGCCATGTGCAACAACATGGATGGACCTACAGGGTGTTATGCTAAGTGAAATAAGTGAGAAAGAGAAGCACAAATAGAAGGAGGAGTTTTGGGGGAGAGGGTGGAAAAGAAGGGATTAAGAAGTACAAATTGCCTGTTAGAAAATAGTTATGGGGATGTGAAGTACAGCATAGGGAATATAATCAATAATATTGTCATAACTATGTATAGTGTTAGATGGGTACTAGATTTATCAGGAATCACTTTGTAAGGTATAGTAATATCTAATCGCTATGTTGCATACATGAAACTAATATAATACTGTATGTCAACTGTAATTGAAAAAATAAAAAAATTACTTTAAAAAAGAGAAGACCCTGAATGTTGGGGAGGAAAAGGTAGACCGGATAGGAAACTTATGATCTGAGGAACACCCTGGGTTTTCTTTTGCCTCATAGAACGCAGATGTGGATCTGAAGAAGCCTGCAACCCAAAATGCCAATGGGCACAAAAGGGCCCCAAAAAAGCCTGCTCTCTTTAGACCAAGGACCAGGGAAAAGACAGCCTACCAAGACAGATAACTTTTATGCAAAAACTATTGTAATTCAGCTAAACACCACAGGAAAAAAAAGTGTGATTCCACCCAGTCCTATCAGCAAAGGCCAAGTGAGGGGCCTTGATCCTACCCGACCTGGCAGTAATGATTTCTCTCTCCCTGTCCCCACTAAGGTAGTGTCAGAGTAAGCCTAGTAGAGACTCAGAGAATGAGTCCACATCCCATCTCTACCAATGTCAGTGTAGATTACATGGGAAAATGAGGCCCTCCTACCCATCCCAGCCAGGGAGGCATCAATAGAAGCCTAGTGGGGACCTGGAACTATCACCACTGCTCAGCAGTAATGAGGAGCCCAAATCTCCCTGGTGTCAATGAAGGCTAAGTGAAGAACATGGACTGCTATACCAACATGGTAGAAATTAGATGGTGACCCCTTTCTCTGCTGGAGCATTGTCAGAAGAAGTCAGCTAAAACAGAAGACCTAAATCAGTGCTGAAATACCAGAACTGTCAAACCAGAATCCTATATGCAGTGAAAATAGGCTTCAGGTATGGAAGGGGATTCAAGAAATTCTCAGATGATGGAAAACTAAGAGGATTTGTTAACAACAGACCTCATCTAAGAGAATGACGAAAGGAAGTTCTCTAAACAAAAAGAAAATGATGAAAGAGAGAATTTTGGACATTACAAAAGAGGAAAGAACAATGGAAAGAAAAAGTATGAGTAAATATAATAGACTTTCCTTCTTTCAAGATTTGTAAATTATCTTTGATACTTGAAGCACCAACATGTGGTTCTAAATGTATATAAATAAATATGTAACACAATTACATTATAAACAGAGTAGGGTGAAGGATTAGAAAGATAGGAAAGGTGTCTGTACTTCATTGGAAATGGTTAACATGTTAAAACCGGTAGACTGTTATAAATTACATGTACATGATATAATACCTAGAGCAACCACTAAAAATGCTACACTAAAAGGTACATGCAAAAATACTATACCTGAATCATCAAATGGAATTCTAAGAAATGTTCATGTAACCCACAGGAAGTCAGGAAAAAGAAAATAGAGAAAAACGGAGAACAAAACAAAATAAAAATAAGTTGGCAGAACCAAGCACTAACATATCGAGAAGTACATTAACTGAAAATCATCTACTATACCAATTAAAACACAGAGATTGGCCAAGTGCATAATAAAACATGACTCAACTATATGCTATCTGCAAGATGCTCAACTCAAATATGATAAGGACAGGTTGAAAGTAAAGGGATGGAAACATATATATCATGCAAATGTTAATAAAAAAAGTGTAGCAGCAGTAGCTCTAGTAATATCAGATAAAATAAACTTCAGAACAAAGAAAATTACAGAGAGAGATATTACATAATGGTAAAAGGGCCAATATATCAAGAAG